TTAGAAACCTTGGAAGATATGTTAGTATAAATAAGATTCTTTATCATTTTTTCATCCTGTTTCTAGTTAGCATGCATCTGGTTACAATATAGTAGTTTGATATATTTTATACCGTCCTTTGGGGAAGTATAATATTCTATTTGACGTGTGTTGATGTTTTTTATATATCGTCTTATTTCTTCATCTAAAATCTGTATGGGAAGTGATTATTAATAAGTCTGTTTAATATTTTTTTTAGTTCATTGTAGAAAATCTTTTTTGTGGAGAAATTAATTTGTGCTTGGTTAATTAAATTTTGTATAAGTGCTATTTTGTAGTAATCTGGACATTCAGTTTTGTAGTTCAGAGTGCAAGAGTTTTGCTGGTTGGGTTTTATACAGAGGGGTAGTAAATGTGTTATTATTTGTTTCTATTAAAATGTCAAGGAAATGGATTTTGTTATCTTTGTTAAGTTCGTATGTGAACTTGAGGGCGGAGTTTTTTCGAAAGATTTTTTTAAGTTCCATTATTTCTCCTATGTTTTTAACTAAAATAAGGATATCATGTTCATATCTTAGGTAGATGGAAGGTTTCTTGGTGGTACTAAATATATTATTTTCTAGGTTAGCCATGTAGAAGTTACTGAAGGTTGGGCCCAGAAGTGAACCCATTGAAACACCATCACGTTGCACATATACGTTATTTCTGTGATCATAAAATGGGACATCAGTGGTGCAGGTTAAAAGTAATTTTCTTAATATTTTAGGCTTAATTTTTAATGCTGGGGTAGAGATGAATTATTATATATATTTTTAATAATAATGTCAATGGTTTCTCAAACTAGAACGTTAGTGAACAGATTTTCAACGTCAAATGATTCTATGCTTTCATTATTAGGTTTTTCGGAATTTAATATTTGTATAAGTTCAAAGGTTGATTTAATGCTGCATTTGTTCGGTATGTATGGTGTAATTAATTAGTTAAGCGTTTTGGTAGATAGGCGTGGGAGTTTGGGATACGGTGATTACTATAGCAAATTTAGCGGTGATTACTATAGCAAATTTCTCTGATCATTTAAAATCAATACACGGAAGGTTATTCGTGAGTATGAACGGATTTTATTAAAAATTAGCAGGCATAATGTCGGTAATTTATTCAATCAGACATATATATATATATATATATATATATATATGAAGAAATATAGTCTTAAGATGTGCTATATTTATGGGATAAACTGCTCAATATCAGAGATAGAACAGTGTAAATATAAAAGTGAACATAGAAGTCAACATAGAGGCGACAGTCTGTTTCATGCTATATGCAATTTGTGGCCTGACGATTGCATATAGCATGGAACAGACTGTCGCCTCTAAGTGTTGACATCTATGTTCAATATATATATATATATATATATATATATATAGAGAGAGAGAGAGAGAGAGACAGACAGACAGGCAGACAGAGAGACTGATAGATAGATAGATAGATAGATAGATAGTGTTGAAACTTGACTAATGCATGGAATAATAATACAACACAAAATGTACCTAGAACAAAATGTATTGAAACAAGAAAGGTACACAATATTTACATATAGTCTTTTGTATTTTCTTGGGAAGACCGTTCCTGGAGAATGGGTTGACTGAGTCGCAGTCGGGCAGAGTCTCTGGATTGAATCTCTTGATTCCTCCCTCTCTTCCCGGTACCAACCATATTTATATGGTCGGTACTCCACTATGCAAATTAGGTGGATCCTACCACAACAGAAAGAAAGAAAGAAAGAAAGAAAGAAAGAAAGAAAGAAAGAAAGAAAGAAAGAAAGAAAGGTATGAACAGACAAACTGGCATAGATTGATAGATATAGATAGATAGCATGAACAGAAAGAGAGAGCCGGATAGATAGATATGTTCAAAATGAAATAGATAGATAGATAGATAGATAGATAGATAGATAACATGAACATGAACTGATAGATAAGTAGAAAGATATGAATAGACCGTGTTAGATATATAGATATGTGCAGTTTGAGATAGAAAGATAGATAGATTCGAGCAAACAGTGATAGATAGATAGATAGATAGATAGATAGATAGATAGATTCGAGCAAACGGTGATAGATAGATAGATTCGAGCAAACGATGATAGATAGATAGATTCGAGCAAACGGTGATAGATAGATTCAAGCAAACGGTGATAGATAGATAGATAGATAGATAGATAGATAGATAGATAGATTCGAGCAAACGGTGATAGACAAATAGAAAGCAAATGTTTCATTTATTTATTCTTTACCACGTTGGAACTAAAATCTTTTTCGCTTCTTTTTTTTTTGAGAGAGAGCTTGGAAGCTTCCAGAATTGAACCGTCAACCCTCGGAACATTCATTGCAAGCAGTGAACTACTACGGCGAACTCTGCTTAAGTTTGTTTGTTGTTGCAAAAGGTGAAGTGAAGATGCCATTAATGACAGATGGTGCTCATTACAGCAATGGCTGCATCTCTCGCCTTCACACAACGC